TATGCTTTAGCCAAGACCGCAGCATTAGCATTGGACCCAACACTGAAAACAAACTAGCTGTTTGACGAACCAAACAAGCTGCATAACACAGTGGCCAAAACTGTTTAGCAAGCAAAGTAGGTTCTGGGAGGTTCTAATCTCTCGACAACGCGCGACAAACAGCGCTGTCCACGGTCCTGAAACCTGAACTCACAGCGCTGTGCTTCAGAACCAGGTTCTGCTGTTTGTGCAGCGAGAAATGAGAAAGGATCAGATAACAAGCTTCAAATATTTCATGGGAGAAAATTTCAAAGAAGGTGTTTCATTACTGTCATCTCTTTGACTCTGGTGTCTCAGCCCTTATTTTTGTTGTTTTTGACATTTTTTTTTTCTGCAGTCCACATTCATACAGTGTGACTCATTCATGCTCTGCCTCGTATTCAGATTTCACTCCGATTCCCTCTGGAGGGCTCATTTGTTTCCAATTGTTCCCGCAGTTGTGTCACTATTTTTTTAATTTGAACCATTTGTTAAAAACAGAAATAAATAATTGCTCTGTACTCGACCAAACTTACTGACGGCACGACTAACAAGCCATAGAAGAATATCTGAGTCAACTTCAGACAAATTCTTTGTTTTCCCTTTCGTGCGTTGGCCAGAGGAAATGTGTGAGCAACGGCGTGATTCAGCAGGAGTTTATAAATACCACTAATGACTCACAGACACATTGTGTGACTCATAAAGCTCGGGGTAGGGTTACAGTAGGTGATGCGATTTATGCTAATGATGCACCGCGAACAGCACGAGTGCAAGTCAGCAGTTGCATTACGTTTAGCCAATAAATGTACAAAAGTTTCGGTTAATATTTCTGTTGTTCATCTGATATTGTAAGAAGTCATAGAAAAAAGTCTGCGTTTGTCAAATTCACTTGGAAGAGAAAGATCCATCATCGCTTTAGAACTGGACCCATTGCCAGGATGACGTGACTCAGGGGGCAGCTAAAAATAGTAAGACAGTGGGTTTTCATCCAGATACACCTGTTTCTGCATATAATTCTTTAATCTGCAGATGGAAATAAACAGCATCCATCCATTATCTNTGACGTTCTCCTGTGTCCCGTCTTCCCTCAGACACGGCCTACGTCAGGATCTTCATCACCGACGTCAACGACAACGCCCCGGCGTTCGCCCAGCCGGTGTACGAGGTGAGCGTGGAGGAAGACAAGGAGGTCGGCTTCGTCCTCATCACCGTCACCGCCAACGACGAGGACGAAGGTGAGTCCGAGTGAAGCGGAAAGGAACCTGCTGGTCGTAGAGTGAAGTCGGTTTCAGTCTGATTTCATGTGAGCTTCAGTCAGACCGGAGGAAGTTCGGGACGTGAAGTATCTGCTGTTTCCTCTCTGTGTGCGTTCTGTTGTGTTAATGATGCTCGATGTGAAGCTCTTGTGTTGGTTTTATCAGTTCACTCTGTTTGTTCTGTTCTCTTCCTCTCAACGCCTGCCTTGATTTTTTTGCTCTCTTGTCTTTATCTCCTCTTTTTTGTTCCCTTTTTCTTCTTTTCTGCTCTTTCTTCTGATTTCTTGTCTTCTACTTTCTTCTTTTTCTCTTTTCATCCCATTCCATTTCCATTTGCCAGTTCTCGTTTTCAATTGTCATTCCCGTTTTCCTTTTATTCTCTCTGCTGTTCTACTTACTTTTGTGTTTCCTCGTGTCTCTTCTCTTGACTTGTTGTCTCTTTGCCTTTTTGGTTTTCCTCCCTCCTGTTCTCTTCTCTCTATTTCCCTTTCATTTTCTCTTCTCTTGTATTTTGATTTTGTCCTGTTTGTTCTCCTCTCTGGATTTTTTTTTTTGCTGTGTAGTAGCTTGCACGTGGTTTTTGGACAGTGTTTATCATTTGGTTTCATAATTTTGTTCTGCAAAAAATCAGTCAGAAAGAAGGGAGAACAATGCTGGCTGGGCCGGTTAAGCCGTTTGGACGCATCAGAACTAGTCGAGTCCAGGGTGTTGGCTCCACAGATGCAGTCTGGTCCTGCAGGAGATGATGGCAGCCTGCCTTAGTGTTGAATTTAACAATAGACAGCATGGGTCCAATTCTGCAAAGCTGCACCCGGCCCATACCCACAAAAAGCTCAGAGCGAGAATCAAAATGTTACAGCAAACATCGCCAGTTGTGGGAGACTGGAAGATCATTCAGTTAATGTTTTTGATACCTGAGGCTTTGAGCTACAAGTGTGAAGGAACCAAATCCAACAACTGTTGTTGGTTTGTGTTTTTTTTCTGTGTTGAAGAATGAAAAAAAAAAAAAAAGTTCAAATTCACACATTTTCAGATGGCTGAGGTGTTTTAATCTTACAGTCCTGAATTCATAGTTTTGTTTTTAATAGAAAGGCAGCAGCACAATCCCAGGGGCTTAAAACTCACGCAGTGTCGTACTGTGTTCACGCAGGTCTGAGATTGTTTATCATTTTCCATCAAGTACTTTACAAAGAACCTGACAATCAGCTGAAATCTGTGACGAGCTGAGAGGTTAAAGGTTGTGTCATAGACGGCTGATTAGTCGGGATGTCAGAATCCGATATCAGTCATCAGAAATCAAGACAGATCAAGATTTTTTTAATTGATTGGTATCAGAATGACCTTTAGCTTGATCCTTTGCTACTTCTGCTAATTAATCAGC